TGCATAATACCTGGGTGTTTAACATAGCTATTAGTAGTTTAGTGAGAGGGAGGGCAGGGTTAGGACAGACCTTTGTGTGTCCGTAGGTTTTGATGAGTGAATAGCTGTAAAAATAGGCGCAAATCTCGGAGATATGGTTGATAACAGAGGCCACACCGAACAGAGTAGGCGTTCCGCCCAAGTCTTGTAAGTGCCAGAAGAGGAACGTGAAGACCAGTCCGATGCCGAACCCCATGAACCACGTGACCAACAGAAAGGCCGCCTGACGTAGAGTGGCCAGGGATTTGATGACAGACACCCATTGGGGCAGTTGTCTCGTGCGCTGAGCGAATACTGCCGACTGGAATATGAAATGGGTTTAAATTAGCTAGGACAATAATGATTATCCGCATTGTTAAGAAGTTAATTTAATGTAATGACATAATGACAATATACAGGTATGTTAAAATTATTTGTTTCTAATTAAAAAGTTATTTTCTATAATGGCAATTTTCTATTTTCTAATAAAATAATATAATGGCAATATTTTAAAGATTTATGTTATAAGTTGTAAAAGAAACTTTTAAATAATATACAAGCTAATAATATATAAGTAATTTATATTAATTACTCAACAATCATCCCAAATTATGTAATGGTTTTATATAATCAAGGAGAATAATGTATGTTTAACTTTTTTAAAACTTGATTCTTGTTATTAAATTAGGATAAAAAACTGTAATATATTTTGATCAATCGGTAAATCTTTTCACAAATTGTAAATTAATCCTAAAATACTTATAAAGTTAAATAGTTTATATTAGATTTATTATATTGAAATTGAGATTTACTTCCACTTTCTAATCTTATTAGAATTGCTTTTAGTTTTATCCGGAAAAAAATTTTCTTTTTTACTAAAAGTATCAATGACAAAAACAATTACAAAATAGGAATCTCACTTTGAGACTCTTTAGATTTTTGAAATATTTAATTAACTATTGCCTAAATCTAATATCACAACTAATTTCTAAGCACCGGTAGTCAACACCATTGGGCCCTACCTTCCAATTGTCGATGAACTCCATTTTCCTGTCGTGTGCGGCCATCTCCGGGGGCTTATTAATAGGCGGCGCAGTGTTGAGCCACGGCTTGGCCTGAGAGGTGTCGTAATCATAGGGTTTCATCTGAATGTCATCGGTGT